ATCATGGTACAGTGATCAAATATAGTAGTACCACAAGAAATATATGATCTCAAAAGTGTCACATAGTTTAATCATAAAATTAAATGTGGCCTAAAGCACAACCACAATCACACCCCTATTCTTATGCACATTTCATCCCTCACTTGTCTGAAATTCCCAGAAATCTCAACACCCTTGATTGATGAATTACTTGAAATTTTTTAACTCTGACAACAATTGCAATAAATAAAGACATTAAACATCTAAATCAATCCTGTATGAAGTACTATTGTCGGAAATATATTTAATGTCTATACTTAGCCCTTAACGCTACATATAGAAAAATCGATATGACACGACAAAATTAAACCATAGATAGGGAAAAAGAAACAAAACCTTAATGTGATGAGCATGAGCATCAGCAATCTGCATAGCTTCAACATCTGAAGAATTAACTCTTTTAGGCCTTTTCACAAGCCTTCTTTTTACAGACCTAGAAGAAGAACCATATCTATTCCTAAATTCATTTTCATCCATTTTTGACCAATTTGCTCATTTTATTTTTGTTCGCTCATTTTATTTTCACTATATTACTTTTCATATTTAGTTTGCTCATTTTAATTATGTTTGCTCATTTTACATATCTTCTATTGAATTTATCAAATAATTACAAAATAAAGGGTAAAAAGAATACATAACAAAGGGCAGTTCATTTTCCGCATCAAAAGTATCTGAAGTATTACCTACAAACTCATTCAAAACAAACTCATTGATAATAGAGTACTAGGTCACAAGATTTCTAACAAGCATTTTATAAAACACCTTGTATGCACTATCAGGATATTCATAAGTATCATAAAAATGCACCAATAACCTATTTTAAACCAAGTTTTAATTGCAACACAATTACAGAATTCATAACAAAAATTAATTTACTAAGTAAAAGGATCCGTCAACACAAACAGGATAATGATAAACAACAACATTGCGTAAATTCAAAAATACTGACAAAAATTTAAGAAAATTAGATTCGGAAAAAACTAACATAACTTTTGTTGATTATTTACCTATATAATCTATGAAACTTGTTGATTCTTGTTGCTGCTGAAATCTGACAAAAATCAAACGGAATTGTGTTTGAAATCCTTCAATCTCATTGAAATAGAAGCTTGTAGTTTCTTCACTCTGTTTTTCTGAGTAGCTGGAAGTATATATGGATGAAAAGTTTGGATTTATTAGAGCCGTTGATATTGTTTGATCCTAAGGCTTAGATTTGTTCTCATATATTAGGAGTGTTCTCACATAAAGGATGGTTCTCACCGGATCCCGACCCTATATATATATATATATATATTACTTTATTGGATGATTAATGATAAGAAAGTTTTATGATATTTTACATTCTCTCTCCCTTCCCTCTATTTTTCATCCCCTCTCTGTACTTTTATAATAACACTAAAATATTCAAAGATTCATTGTAAATATGTAATGAATATATATCCCATTCTTTAGCACTGATACGTTCGAGTATATAACAAAAATGTTGAATTAAATTGAAAATAATTAAAGTGACGTGAAATTGTGCACCAAGTTTTAAAATGCCACTATAATTTTTATGTGTATGAATATACATAATCTATATGCCAAGTTTTATTATGTACGTTTGTTGATATCTTCAATCTAAATTCTTGTGTTGGACTAATAGCACACCCATTTATCTTTGAAGCCGCCACGTGCCTGCGCTGCTACCTGCTATGCATAAGCCACCTATTTGAGAAAACCAAGTAATAATCTAAGTAATGATTAACAAAAAGAAAAGGAAAAGAATAAAAAAGGGAATTGAATCAGATTAATAGATAGGTAGGTTGAAGATGATGAGTAAAAAAAGTGTAATGTAAAAAGTGTAAAACTAATCACAATTTAAGCTTAACAGAGGTTTGACCTTATTATCACATCATATCAAAATTAACTAGTTAAATTCACTCTATTTTTACTTATTTGACCAAACTTTGACATTATGTATACAATAAACTATAGAGAAAAAATCTATCAAATGTGGTCTTGTTAGATTCATAATAATGTGTATTTTATTAATATGTAATTTTCATAATTTTTTCATTACGAAATTAAAAATATATAGCGATAAATAACCGCACATAAAACTATAAAGTGTGTCAGAACTTATTTTTTCTGAGTTGATCTGATCTAAACTTATTTTTTTAATATGATCTGATCTAAACTTATTTTTTCTAAAATAAGGTAAACTAAACATGACCTTACTCTTGTACAAGACATCACCACAAATTGTGTGTAGTTGCTTGTGTGAAAGAAGAAAGCTAATTTAAATGGCAATGATGAAGGAGAGAGAAGGGAGGAAAAAAACAATAAAAGTACAAAGTTGCCCCTAAATTATTGAGTAAAATGACTTATATACCCCCTATATGCCAATTTGATATATCAGATTTGGTATATAAGGCTGATGAACAAGTATTTATTCGAAAACCCACATCCCACAAAAAAATTTAGTCCATTTTAAGTGAAATGCTAGATTCCTCCATAAAAAATTATCAAACCACCATCATTTCAAGCAAAGAGACATCCTCGCCCTTACTAAAAAATTCCCATTTTTTTTTCCTCTAGCATCCACCACAACCAACTCAACCACCACCAATCATGACGTCGGTAGGACCCATGCCATCACAACCCACCACCACCGTGTCAACCACCGCCATTTACACTAGACTACCACTAGGGACCTCGAAAGTCGACGAGAAATGGATGGTGATGGAGGTGGATCGTCAGAAAACAAATTGGGAATGCCACCGTCGGCTTTTCAGCAGGTACGACTTTTTTCCACGGGTTTAAAGTGGTTTTGGCCTCCGATTACCTGGGTCAACTAGAGTTTAAAATCAGCTACTGTCCACAGTAATTGATTTTGACCTCCAATCACCGAGGTTAAAATTAGTTACTGAGTTTTCAGCTCCGGTTACCAACCACTTAATTTATAAAAAAAAAATTGAAAAATAAAAAAAAATTCCACCGGAAATCTTATCTCCTTCCTCAAATTTCCAGCCATCCCGCCACTAGAACTGTCGCCTCTTGACCTCCGCCTGATTGGCCGCCTAGTTCCGCGCTGTCGCTGCCTTCTGCCACCACCAACTGCTGGTGGTAACCTTTATTATGTGGTTGTGTGGAAAAAGGTTGGTGGTTGGGGAGTTTGATGATAGAGAAACAAAAAGGGGAGAAAAAAAAGGGTTAGGGTTTATTAAGGGGAATAATAACCCCTTTTTTTTTATAATCATGATGGTTTTGATAAATTTGAATGGCTCTATTTAACACCCTTTTTTTGCCGTCACCCTCGTCGTTTGTATCGTCATACATATCAAGAACAGACAATTCGTTGTTTACAACAGGTTCAATATTCACCAAAGTTTGAGACGGTGTTATTTGAACATGTTCTTGTGTAGGAGAGTAACTGTGCAACTGCATCGGTGATGAAATGTCATTGTTTGAGATAGATGGACCAGGTTGCTGCAACATTGACACCGACGCCCCTTCATGTACAGGTGCAGTAAAATGTGAACTGAATGGAATGTCAAATTGATCGTTGTGTAACATTCTACTGAAAGATCCCATTCCATATTCAAATGATGCAATGTTGTATGAGGGCTTTGTAACGAGCTTGTATTTTAAGGGAAGATATGTAGGTTGTTGCTCTATCAAGCGAATAGTCTGTTGAGTACATATATGCACCATTTCCACATACAAATTAGTGGGAAGAGACCTCATTGCAACGACACCCCTCAAAACCTCCAAATGGTCGTCATTCAAAACAGGTAAGATTTGAACCCCACTGACACTCTCAAACCTCATTTTAATGTTCAGTTCAACATTCGTTGGGTTTGAACCAGTTATAGTATAAACCTTCTTCAACAAATCAATGTAAGTCATACAAGGTTTCAATGCCAACGGTTCCATTTTTCCTCCTCTATACTCGACGTTCGATCCGACACACAAAATTTCACACCCCCCCCCCCCAACGACATAACAAAACAATCAATTGTGAAGCCATGTTCTACATAACAATCGGAATACATATTAGATGACACAAATACACAACACAACTAAAACCACAATGATTCAATTAAATCCTAAAGCTAAGCGTATATACAACTTAGTGTTCAACAATGTACTTATTTACCTAGTTAATCAACAATGTAGTATATATATTTAAATTTACCTAATTCAACAATGTAGTTCGTAAACATACTTGAAATTTAAACACTAAGTATGAAGAATAATGTATGCTTCATATACATGATTTGAAATTAAACAACATACATATAAATATACTTAATTTCAATAATTAAACAACAATGTATTATGTAGTTATACTTATTTCGCATACTTAAACAACAATATAGTACATATATTATAAATTACAAACATAAATTCCCAAAAAACATCATAAACAAGTAAAATAGTTAAATTCAATACATACCTCAAATTCGATCAATGTACTGCGTAAAAGTGTTGAACAAAGATTGAGGAATAATTTTTAGTGACTATGATGAAGATCTAAGCAATGGAATGTGATGAATTTGATGCAAATATGGAGGATTGGGCGAGCAATTAGGTGCGGGTTAGGGTTTGGAATTTGAGGTTTTGCGTTTTGTTGAAAAACAATAAAAAAATAACAATATACTGCTTGAAATACTCGATACAAAAAGGTTGGCGTTTTTGGTAAACGGTAAAACGTCAGCCTGGTTAGCGTTTTTACCTTGGCCAAATTTTTTTAGAAAATTTCAGTCAAGATAAACACCAACCAGGCTGGCGTTTTTTCGTAGACTGAAATTTTTTAAGAAAATGGCCAGGGTAAAAACGCCACCCTAAATGGCGTTTTATCCTGATAAATAGATTTACCACGCGTCTACTTTGAAGAATAGTTTCTTAACAAAACTCGTAATTTTTCCAAATATTCGAGAATCAAGTTCGTTTACAAGTGGTATTTTAAGTAGCTTCCCAAAAGATCACAAACATAGGAAACATTCATTCAAATATGTGTGCACTTTCTCTTAAAAACTGAATAGTAGCTAACTTCAATCTAAAATGGGATTCAGATTCCTCAAATTAAATCTCATTTACAAGCCATATCTCTCAAGAATTTCCTCAACTACCCAGAAAAATTCAATCTTTACCCTTCACAATCCATCAAAAATCAACTCTTTAACAACCCAATTGCAAGAAATTTATGATCCTTCAAATGTGATTATAAACCCACCAAATTCCCAAATTTTCAAACGCTGGCATTTTGGGCATTCACATCATCATCATCATGGTCCACATCATGATTCTAGCAAGAAGAGTGAGAACATTTTTAGGCTTGGACTTGCTGCTGATATTGGTTTAACTGTCGGAAAAGCCGTCACCGGGTACTTCTCTGGTAGCACCGCTATTATTGCCGACGCCGCGCATTCTCTCTCCGATGTGGTAATTTATCAATTTTAGTACCTCATTTTATCTTGTAATCTTATGTTGTTTGTGTCATTTTATTTGATGGGTTGTTTGGAAATTTGGTATTGGAATTGGCAATGTGCATGTTTTGTTATGATTATTAATTAGGGGAAGAGGGTTATTTAGTTTGATTAAGAGTGCAATTTACAGTTCATTTGTAATGATACTAAGTTTTTGGGTTTTGAAGGAGTATGTGAGTGAATTGCCTATTGTTATGTTATTAGGATTGACCATAGTGAGGCAAGGAGCTGAGTTGTGTATGGTTTTTTCCTGAAAAATAATTTTGGTGTTTATGGCTAGGCAAACTTTTGGGGGAAGTTCTACGTTTCGTAAGGGCATTATTGATTAATTGTTTAGTGAAGAACAGTGTTGAGTTTCACTTAATATTGAAGATTATTCCAAAAAAGTCTGGGACATGTAACGATGTAAATAGAGGATTGGGATCTTTCTCTTCCTATAAACTAACTATAAGTTTGTGCCTTACAATGTCTACTGTACCTTCTAATCTTTGCAAGGCTTCTGAAAATATCGAGTATAATGCTTTGAGGGAAAGAACAGCGTTTTGTAACAATGCCATGCTGGTAGTAAAGACTTAAGGAGTATTGTTTTGTCATTAGCTAGTTAATGACTGTGTGTGATCTCATTTTCTGAAATGCTCTACACTTATATAGAGAAAAATCTACTGTAGATTTTAGGTATGAGGTATGGGTTCGGAATGAGTAGAACCCATGCCTAATGTCTGGTTGAGAAAATCCATTTTCTATACTCATACCTCAAACCCACAAGGTATAGGGGTTAGAAACCCAAAGAGGGAGGTGTGTATGGCTCATTCCGCTCATACCAAACTTCTAGCTACCAAATAAAAGAAAAATTATATTTCCGAACATGGCATGTTTGAGTAGGCCCCTTTTTTCTTTGTGTTACAGAAGTGAGAAAGCTAACTATTAGAGAAACATAGCATGTTTTATGATCTTATGTAGGCATGTCTTTGTACTGGCTAATGCCCAATGTGATGAAATTGCTGAAATTGAGGAAATTTTGGAAGCTCTTTACCAAACATTTTGAAGTGATCTGACCTACAATAACTACACCATACGTCCATAAGCTTGATCTTACTTTGTCGTCGAGTAATGAAACAAATATATACCTCTGAGTTTAACTTAGATGCCACTTGCTTGATATAGGGTGTTAAGAGTTATGTGGAAGTCTACCCAAAACATTATAGTTTCTGCCAGTTTAATTAACATATGTGCTATAGTTCAGTAGCTCTTGAAAAGTTTGCGGCACATGGTTTAGCAATGACTAATATTCATAGTGTACTGAGTGCCTAGGTCTGTGTTTGTTGGTTCGTTTTATTTAAGGTAACTATATGACTATAAGTTCTGCTGATAAAGAAAAAATTAACATATGTGCTATAGTTCAGTAGCTCTTGAAAAGTTTGCGACACATGGTTTAGCAATGACTAATATTCATAGTGTACTGAGTGCCTAGGTCTGTGTTTGTTGGTTTGTAGTATTTAAGGTAACTATATGACTATAAGTTCTGCTGATAAAGAAAAAGTTGCTTCTACATCTTTAATAACCACTAACCAAGAATCCGGAAGTCATTTTAAGGAATTGAGTCAATATACCAGTATACCACAGTCCACAATAATTCTTCGCTATTTTAAATCAGTATACTCGTCATTTGAAATTCATTGTTAAGGGTATCGTGAAGAGTAATATAAAAAGTTTCAAAGATAATTTATTAAGTTTAGGAAGTCACCTGTTATTTTCAGTCAAACTAATATAGAAATGGAGTAGTATGTTGTTTGGTTGACCACCTTGTAGCTAACTTAATCTCTAGTTGACTTATTTCCTTTGAAACCATTGAAGTTTGAAGCTTGGATTGATAATCAGGAAGGTTAAGTCGCACTTTTATAGTTTATCTGTACCTCAATGTATCCTTTTTATCCTTTAAAGCTATTTTTTTGTTTGTTAATGGGGTTTTATTATTAATCTGTGCTAACAGCCAAACATGAAAATCGTAATTGTAAACTCATATTTCATGGAAATGTCACTTTTGAGGAGCTGTTAACTATTTATGGAGCTAGGCTTGTTGAGCAAAACAGGCTTTCTAATGTGTCGAATGACTTGCGTAATGGATGAAAACTAGTATGCTGTTTTAGGTGCAATGGGATCTTGCAATAATTGTGTGATAGTTGATTTTGTGGATTAGAAATGCGTTTCTTGTACTTAATTATTGTACACTGACTTGACACTTGTTAGTAACGCCCACGGATTGGATTGTAGATTAATTGTTGGTTTGAAACAGGATTGATAAAATATTTCTAAATATTGGGTGGTCCAAAAAACAGTGAAGACTGCCAGATTTTTCACTTAAATTTTCTAAAGTTTGTTGCTTTGCTCAATCTGGCTGGTAAATAATTTGGTATTGGTTTTCAAGTAAAGATTACGACTTAAATTGCAACATGATTATCAATAATTGTAGATATGAGTTAGAATAAAGTATTGGGAGCAAGATCAAATACAGTTTGGCGAGAAGAGGACCCTCAATGAACCTTAGGCTCTTATTGCTGGGTGGAGGTCCCTGGGACAGGCTCACTAATTTCCTTCATCATGGCAAATTGACAATCATGCATTCATGCATATATCTCTGACTTTAAGCTAGTTTGGTATCAGGAAGGAAGCCCTGGCTTACATGCCAAGATCTTTCTTTTATTTCTGGTTGAGAGGTGATTGGAAAAAGTTCTGGTTTGTTTCTAAAGTTTGAGCACAAAAAAATACAATGAGGCGAACAAATAAGGACGAAGGGAGTAAGATGGTATGGTCTGATTCTGATGTGGAAGAAGCAAAAAGTTCATGAAATAATGTGATAAGAACATAGTCTAAGGTAAATGCTGGGTACGTGAATGAAAGTTGGAACCACCGTTGGGGATTGACAGATTGTGGATTGATTTGAGTTATTAAGATGTTGATCTGCCTTAAAGAATAATTATACCCTGTTTTACACCATTGATTGCATTTAAATGGTTATCTATGGAATAACTAACTTGCTTAATGTTTTTCCTACCTCTTCCCTCCTGTCTTTTGTATTGTGGTCAAGGACTGAAGAAAGAAGAAAACAATCAGATATCATAAAATTTCTTCCTTTTTTACAAAAATAACTGTCCATATATTGTTTGTTTAGCTTACATTGTCTTTTTCATATGAATTTTTGTCTTAGTTATGTTGGTGATGGTGAAAAATATCTGCTTACTTTAACTGGCATGACTGTATTGCAGGTTCTCAGCAGCGTTGCTTTACTCTCTTTTAAAGCTGCCAGAGTGCCTAGAGACAAAGAACACCCATATGGTCAATAATTTTCCCTTTGATTCGCTTTTGCTGATCCCTTTATTGGGGTTAAGGCTTTGTTTATTTTCATTATTATTTTTGTATGCATGTCTATAGCATTTTATGTCTCTGCCCATAATGAATTTGTTTTCTAACATATATATATTTTTTGAAATTATCATTTTGTTTTCAAATTTTTGCTGTAATATAACTGTAATGGCTAATTTCATTTTCTTTGTACCCTTCCCAGTTCCCACTAGCCATTAGTCTATTGTATATATTCACCAATCATAGTGATGTGATTTCACTTTGTTTTTCACCGCATTTGCGGTGTGAGGTAGTCCTTTTGGCATCCTATTGTGGAGCTGCAATACATTGTGTCCTTTGCTTCTTTAGGATTTCCCCTTTTTTTTATCTAAAGTATTCCTAGATAATATCTTGAATACTAACATAGATAATAAACATATAAATCTTATCTAACTTAAACCTTCCAATAAAGAAAGGCTAATTAATATTCTAAATGTTCATTTTTATTTGATTAGTGAGATCATTAGACTACCTTCACTTGCCTTAAACCTAATCATACTGCCCTACCATGAGTAGTCACGTACTCACTATTATTTTCATCAGATGCCTTCACCTTTGCTGTGTATTTGGCTGGTTTTCTTCATCTTGATTAAAAAATGATGCAAGTGAGATTTTTTTTTGTTTTTGTTTTTTTTGTTTTTGTTTTTGTTTTTTTTTTTTTTTTTTTTTTACACATCTTGCATACTTGTATGACTGGCTTGTATTGAAAAAGAAATTAAGTCAGAGGAACTCTGGTTTAATTGAGTTGTAATCATATTTGGATCTTTATTTTACTACGCTATTGCAAAATTGAAAACTAGGATGGCCTTTTTTTTTTTTTTTTTTTTTTGAACATAAACTTTTTAGGCGGAAGGTAGCTGGTACCCTATATTATCAATGATCCAAGTGAGTATATTTACTTTTTTATAGGGAGAGGGTTTCACAGATTACATTTCCTCTTACCTCGCAAATGGTTGCAAAGACTTTCTAACGTAGGTAGGTGACTTTAGGCTACTAGATTGGATAACATTGTCAGTATCCTCATGAACCCAACTTGGCTTACTCATGCAAACTACCGTCGTAGTTTTGTCAGTATTCATGTTTATTTTTCCAATAGCCTATGTATAACTCAATAAAGCACAATGACATGATGGTTAGTTAAAAATTACGAAAGGCAACGAAAAAAAAAAAGAAAGAGAAAGAATAAAAAAAAATGGCTGATGTTGCTATGCAAAGTAGAAGCATAATCTGTTTAACTAATGTTGATTTTCAAATGTTGTAAGTGTAAAAGGTTAAAAAAAAAGGGGCAATTTTGTCAGGAGATGTTAAAAATAAAAATAGACAACTTGTAGGACAGAAAAACTCACGAAATGATAACCATGTTCAATCCTTTACGTTGCTTGATCAAGTTTTGGTCCAAAAAGATTCCTAAGCTGGTACCTTTAGTAAGCAGTTTTTGGGAAGAATATTGATTTTCACAAGCACATGAAGGCTCTTTTGAATTAATTCCACTCCAAGATTTTGATGCATCCCACCTTTAGGCTGTGGCATATCTTTCTTTGACCCCTGACCAATCACCACCTTCTATTGAGCCAGAATCACAAACCTTTTTAGAATCACCCCAAGAAGATAGTGCCTTATTCTCTTCTTTATCAGATAAGAGTGGGAGACACCCCTCAAAAAGTAGATGAAGGCTTATAGATGGATCTTTAGGCTGTGGCTGATCTTTCATTGGCCCCCAACCTGAACAAGTATTTCATAAAGAAATATAGCCATCAAGCCATGTAGTTGAGTTAACTAGTCTCAAGAGCTGTTTGTTCTGGCATTAAATGGATTTTGTACTTTCTAAATTGCATCGAAAAAAAATATATGGGGAAAAAAGAAAGATGAAAAAAAAAATTGAGAGCTTAATTTTCTTTTGTTATGAAATGATTAGATACTCTAATTTCCAGACCTCATTTTACTTTCTGTATATACTGCAGGCCATGGTAAATTTGAGACACTAGGAGCTCTAGGGATCTCTGGCATGCTCCTTTTAACTGCAGGAGGTATTGCATGGCATGCTGCTGATATATTGCTGGTAGGACCTATCACTTTGTTTCCCTCTCTCCCAATCCCTTCTTTTCATTGCCAGGTTTATTTTTGTATGTGTGCCTACTTTGCGTGAAATTGCATGCTTGTTCCATGGAATAATATAGTTGTCACCCGTCAGAATCACAATTATCATGGCATAGGTAATGGGTTGTGGCATCTCAAGGATGTTGAGGAGCTCCTGTGGGGATTAATTATTATTGAGTGAAGTTTACTCCTAAGTCACTAAATCTTCCTAATTTCTTGGTTGAACTTGAGGTCAAGAATTAAAGTGATCTAATATTCTTTGCAAGGGTTATATACTAATATCAACTTGCGTGATAAGGATGCCAAGTTTGCCAACCCACAATGCCAATAAATAAGGCGTTGAGAGTCAATTCACTACTGAAATAGTAGATATGCGCATTTAGAGATTGTCATGTAGTAGGTCTTTGTTTCTGCGAAGTCTCAATATTTTTGAGCCTGTTCAAACATGTGACCCACTTAATTGCCTCAGTATTTTGAGGCACCTTGGCTTAGACTCTTAGTTAACTCTATTGGAAAAATAAGTTTAAATGTTCAATTATCAAATTGAATGAGCAACAATATCTTATTTCTCATCTGATCTCATAATAGCCAGTTATGGACATCATGGGATGATTTTGAAATTTTGAAATGGTGTCACATAACAGCTTGATAACTGAATAAAATATTTTTAGGTGGTATGTGTGTATTTTTTAAGGATCAATGGGGAAAGCTGGGAGTAAATGATGATGGATGCAGTGTTAATTTTCATGGCAAGGTTGGTTTAGATGGTTAAAAGCTTTGGCTGCTGGTCCACTGAGGTGAATTTCAAAATCTCCCTACGTCAGTAGAATGTGATTCTTTCTAGTTTCATCCTTTTTCCCTTTGTAACAAATAATATTGTTTAACACTTCAAGAAACTTTGGCTTAAGTATAGGTTGTCGTGGAATTCATATTTGTATGAAGCTATATTACTTTTGATTATTTTAATAGACCAAATGCTGCTTGATTCCCTAACTAAACTATGATATTGTTGTTTTGCAGGGTTTGCTTACAACATCCCCTGAAGTTTTTGGTCAATCCTTGATGCATGAGCATGGTCATCATAGTGGGCATGACCATAAGATCGATATGGATCACCCAATTCTCGCATTAAATATGGCTATGTTATCCATCGCTGTAAAAGAAGGGTATATAATTTATTCTACAACTTATCCAGCTTGGCTAGCTCCTCTAAATTTGTTGTTAGCCTGTTATCCTTTTGGACTATATTTTTGGCTTTCCCGTTGTTTATAGTCTTAAATGCTTCTTCAGTCAATCCTGTTTTGTATCCTCTCTTATTGATATTAATGTGTTATTATAAATGAAGGCATTTATAACTAAGTACATTTTTTTTTGAAACATCCCAGATAAGTACATCTACACTCTACTAGGAACCCTTCTGATGCCTCTATGATTGTCATGAAGCATACTTGACTTTGACTGCTGTACCACCTCCAAAATGTCAATTTAATGCCACTGACTTTATGTTACATTGATTGCCAATAAGACCCACTACTTACTCTGAATTTCTGGCCTCTCCTGTATTGCATCCCTTAAATATTTTACGCACTTTATTTTTTATTAGAGATTTAGGTTTAACTTTCCAAATAAACTTTGGTTCTTAGTTTGCTCTTGGAGTCCTTGGTAAAAGTTGATTTGGTGGCTGATCTTAGAAGATTCTTTTGAATGTATTGATTAATATTTCTAATGGGATTTGTGGGGCCAATTATGGTACTTAATACAAATTGAATGAAGTAATCGTGTCTGCCTCTAAATTCACTCTAGTATAAGCTGGTAAGTGGTAGATACTGTGGATATTGCTGTATAAGGGTAGTTTTTATACATTACCCTTGCCAGTGCTAAGTTGAAGAAATAGATTAGGTATATGCTCCAAAATATTCACCCCCCATTTTTTGTATGTAATGCTTGTGATGCACAGATTTATTGTTTTGTTATGGGTTAGTCATTTGTTATATTGTTCAATGACTATGATATTGGTAGACAAAAGCTACTTATATGGATAACATGTAATTATAAATAATGGTTTAGAAGAAGTAAAATGGGATTAAAAGGTTCAAGTGCGCCAAGGCATCATAGAATTTATATAAGTTTCCAAATACTGAAAATGCTCAGAAGTTGTCAATCTAATACTAAAATGTGTAAGCTCATGTCATTTGATGTAAAAAAGAAAGTAAAATAATGTATCAGACCAGTTCTTAACCTCCGTCATCTGAATGTAAGTATTATGAGTAAATTTATCGTGGATATAACTAATTAGCATTGGATTCCTACTCCTGGTAATATATTAATCTGCTATATACTACTCTTTGTCTTCTGTCACTCATAGTTACCACTCAGATATCTGTTAGAATGATAACAAAAATTGGACAGCCAAACTTGAAAATTTGATCTTCTTTTTGGATCGAAGGTAGCAGTAATATCTCAATTTATAACTAATCAGATAAAATTACAATAAATTGTAATAGTTTATTACAAACTTTTTCTAGCTTTTTGTTACTAGACATCTCACTTATGAGAAATTTTTAATTCGATTTTTGCCATTCTGATGTTTGATTCAGATCCCTTTCACTGTGATTCTTTTTTTTTTTTTTTTTCTTCATGCCCGAATGTATATAAAGTCGAAGGACCGTGCTTTATATGTTCTATAATTGTTGCAGTCTTTTTCGGATAACAAAGAGAGCTGGGGAAAAGGAAGGCAGTGGACTCATGAAAGCAAATGCATGGCATCACAGGGCTGATGCTATCTCTTCTTTCGTTGCTCTTATTGGGGTAGGTAAGAACTGTCTGTTGTGAATGTGTAGCTATAGATTGATTTTGATTCCCACAGCCTAAGTTTACTTCACAACTTTGAAGCTTTCAGTACCAGCGTCATTTTGATATTAAACTTCTGCAGTAATTGATCGACATAAATCAGGAAGCTTGGTGTGGTGTGGTAAATTAGGCATATTTCACACTGACAAAAACATTTCTTGTTTAGTTAGCATACATGGAGTAATGATCTTGTATAGCCTTTGAAATGCCAGAAGCTTTAGGGTTTATTTGGGTATAGAAGCAAGGCCTCTTTGCCACTTTTCTTACTCTTATCAAGTATTCTATTGTGCTGTTCAATACTGCTCTCAGTAGACGGTTGCTACTTATTATATTTACCCTTGGTTCATGTATTGCAAATTAAAATACTAGTGCTGCTTACGGTTACATGGTTAGCTCTCACCTATTTGCCCCTTACCTAGGCAGCCTACCGCCGTACCCTATTTTGTTCTTCTTCTTCTTTTTATTTATTTATTTATTTATTTATTTATTATTTTTATGTGATGGAAATCGTTATTAGTTGCATGCCAAGGTACATTTGTATCAAGCTGGCACAAGCGCAACCTTAAGCTGCCTTTTTCTTGGTTTGTGGCTCCCCATCTTGGTCTTGGGAAGCTACTCCCAAATCCCAAGGGCTCTTGCTGCTAACCCAGTTCAGGTTGACTTGTGCAAGGTTCCACTCCTGTAGGAGCACCTTTTCCTTAGCCAAAGGAAAAAAAGATCCTTGTCTTGGGAAGACCCTATCTGTACAAATTATTAGCTTTTGAAAGTTATGATCTTTCTCGAGATAATGTTAGTGGAAGAGTTGTAGATTTTACAGTGGAAAGAGGGCTGGCTTTTAACCTTTGTGATGATTGCTCTACCAATTCACTTTATTATAATATAAGTATGAAGTTAAATTTATCGCCATTTCAATGATTTTGTTATGAATAATGACGTGGAAATGTGATCATATTGTATTAGTTTTTGTCATTTTGACTACTGAATTGATGACAAGTGTCTGTTAATTATTGTCTCAGGAGGATCCATTCTTGGTGTAAAATTTTTTGATCCTCTTGCTGGCCTTCTTGTGTCTGGCATGATACTAAAAGCAGGTCTGGAAACTGGTTACCAAAGGTATCCTGTTTATCAACCTTCATAGATTGATGCCTTAACTGTATTTTCTATGCTATTTTTTATTTTCAAACCTTGTCGTAAAATTGGATATGTGAAGGAACGGGATGATGGAAAATTTTTAAATTTAGAGGTGAGCAAAATAACCCGAAAAACTGAATAATCGAATTTCAAAATAATCGTTGAAAGTTATACAGTTTCTAACTTGAATGTATTTGTAGCTTTTATCATTATTTTTTTTCATTATGCAAGATGTGATGTTTAATAAATAATAAGTATGATGTATGAATGGTGAATAATTACATTGGCAACTAATGGCAGTATGAAAGCTTTTTTAGTGCTGGAAACAATGCTAATGGTTAGGTAGTGTTGTGCTGTAGAGAAACAGTCTTGTTAGTGTGGATCATTTATATCTGCTAATCTTTGCTATATGATCTGAACTAGTTATTTGAAGAATTTATACTGCTAACAGACATGACGTATGATTTTGTGAAGATTGAGTCTAGGGTGTAAATTCAAGTTGACAAACATGTGGACAATACATTGCCCAAGTTAATATACACTTTTTTTGTTCAAACTGTAGTGTTTTAGAGCTGGTGGATGCTGCAGTTCCACAGCAGCTATTGGACCCTCATCGAGAAACAATTCTACAAGTTGAAGGAGTGAAGGTAAATCTCATCCTTTTAAATTCAAGTTAAGGTGTAGTTCCTTTGCAAATTGAATGAATGTGCACTTAGTGCGGAACTAATTAGCTTGTTGCTGCATAAGGGTAGTTACCTAGGATTCTTCTACATCACTTGAGAATATTTCAGCATAATGGCGGTAGAGCAGATAGGGGATTCGTTTTGTTTTCTTTGTTGTGGTAATCATGTAGATATAGTTTCTAAAGCTTTTACCGAGTGTATTGCAATGTCATTGCCATAATGGACACTGCTCATGGAAGTGGAATCTTGGCATCTTACCTTGGGAGTTTGAGGCCAATAAAAATTCATTGTTATATGTAAAGGCCATTATGCATTGTGTTTGTTTAGACTAATCTATAATTTTAGGTTAAACTTTTTTTGAAGTTCTTGAGTTTAAACATATTTAAATTCTAGAATGGATTTAAAAGTTTGCCTATATGTGAAACACAATACTTTTATAGGTGCAATGTCATGACATTATTTTAGCATCACATAATGATCTGTCATGCGATAGCAAGTTGAAATTCTCTTGTTTAGTTGGCTAGCAGCTGCTGCATAGCATAAAAGCAGTTTTTTGGGCCCATGTTCTGAAGCATTCTATTTGCAAAATGGTCCCCAATCTCTTTTAATTCTCTTGTTAACCATATAAGTTCTAGCAACCATCTTAGCGCTTAACAACTTGCTGATTGAAATGTTGATACCAATTCACCATCCAATTTTTGCTGATTCTTTTATTTTTAAATCGGTTGCTTCTTCAGTCACTAGGACACTCTATAAATAACTATATTCCTTCTGTTGCAATGAGTTCTTGAATGTTCACAATCTTCACATTATTGATTGCTAAATGGCACTCTTTGTTATATATATAGGGGTGTCACCGTCTGAGGGGAAGAAGGGCTGGCTCGTATTTGCACCTTGATGTACACATAGAGGTATAATACCTTCTCAATGTTTACTAATTCGGATTGGATGTGCGCATCATGATATTTCTGGAATTTTTGTCAACAAGCTATTGATAATATTCAGTGATTTTACACCTTGCTTAGCTGAATTTTATCAATAAATGAATGCCATTATGCCACCGTTAAAACAGTCCTTTAACTCAAAGGATGACATAAATGATAATATTTCACTAGTGTCAACCCAACAAAAAAAAAAAAAAAAAAAAAAAAAAAAAAAAAACCCTATATACAGCAATAATATGAACATTAGTGCTTATACTCACAAAATGCCATTATATCCTCTATGCTCAATATCATCTGGTTTTAAGCTTTATTCTCTGTCAACGAGGATTCTCAAATTTGAAAAACTTGTTTATGAATTTGCAAATGAGGATATGCTCAAATTTGAAAAACTTACTTGTTTATAAATTTGCAAATGAGGATTCTCAAATTTTCATACTCTAAGAGGGAAGAGAGCTGTCTTAGGTGATAGACAGTCCCTAAGGCATTCCCTTTTTAAGGGGTGTTGAAGTTCAGTTGAACGTAGACAACTCCCTAAGGGGGTGTTGATATAGCAACTACCCTGCCCCCTTTTTAACACAAATTAATTCTCAGTTATTGGTAATAGGGTTTTTTTTTAAAAATAATTAGAGAATGCAAGGTTTCTAGTATTGAGTGAAAGGGATTTATGGAGAGAAAATAAAATGCCGTATTATACTGGAAAAGGAGATCATTGTTTTTTGTAATCATTCTCTCACTATTTTACAAGCGAGTATGAAACACTTTTCATCTTTCTTCTCAGATGAAAGGATGACCAAAGTGAGAGCTTTTTTCTAGAAGTCAAACAGTGTCAATGATTTATTTGGAGGTCGTATTTAGTTTTTCCTTTCTAACATCACTTCCTACTTCTGCTCTCCTTTAAGAAGCTTGTGGGTGTCTCCAATAAGAGGAAGATGATTATGAGAAATTATCCTTGAGTCTAGAGTAGTATAGGATAGGAGGGGCCATCCAGTATGTTGGGACATTGTGCTAAAATGGTAATGTCTTTGTTAGTTTCTTTTGGAACCCAACTCTTTTAGGCGCAATTTGATGGAAGCGAGGTATAGACTTAAAAATTGGATGTGAAGCATTGACCATTAATCAGTTCTGTATTTTAGTCCTTCGTTTCACAGGATTCTTCTCTAATTTTCTTGGTCAGTTACAAGGTAGGTGATGGTTTTTGAAAGTAGCGGAGTAGAGATACTTTCTCAAAATCGTTGTCTTGAATATATCTTTTCTATGCTACAGCATTTTTCCTTTGCAGCTTTCAAGTAGGTGGATTTGACGACTCTTATTAATTGTGAGATATAGTAGCTCATTGATTAGTCAGGCACTTGAGTAGTCAGAATGGAGATTTTGAGTGAAAGACTCTTGTTGGTTTTTTTGTTACCTACCTTATATCATGTTTGAAATTCCTCTAAACCTCATTCTTTCCTTGTCTCAACTGACATTTGGAGGTCAATATTTTCTGTATAAGGTGAACCCTTTTGATTGGAAATTAAAATTTGGACAAACTCAATGACACTCATGGACGTGCAAAATCAATGCCTAAATGAGGACATTTTTCCTTAATGTTAATCCATCACCCAAGGGATGTACCACATGTCCACATGTCAAATTGTCAATTCAATCCAACTTAATCCAGTACGGCTTGCGACCCTGCAATCAATTTGGATTTGAAGCAAAGTAATTTGGTCCTCCGACACCCCTTCTCATTGTGAAAAAGGCAGCCAATTACCTGCCCAAAGGAAAATATTTCAGATCTGATGTTTTTTCGCAAAGTCCTAGATTTGTATATGGAAGGAGAAGTGATGATATTGGAAATGAGTCAATTTAGATATCACTGATATTCCCTGTTGAGCCACCTAGCCTCAGGAGAGAGATACAATGCTGCATTTTAAGCTTTTTTTTCCTAGTTTTTCTTGTAATGCAAATCTGGGAGGAGGGTTGGTGGTAGTGATGATATTGTAAAGTGTAACTTGCGTTGGTCTACCTAATTTTTTTTGTGTATTTCTCCTAAAGAAGAGTAATATGTAAGTTTATAATATTTGTGTAATCGGCAGACTATTAACCATTTTATGTAAAGCAAAGGTTTACAGATATCAAGTGTATGCAAAATGGGCTGTATTGATGGTTCGTTATGTTTTTCAGAATTTAGAGGAGGCAAGTTAGTTGATGTACAAGAAAAAATGACACTAAAAGCTTTGGAAATTTTTTAATAAAATCTGAATTACTGCATAAACCATGTGCATATTATTTAATTTTGCTGTGCTTTTAGTTTTAATCTAATATTTGAATTCTTCCTTATTTCCTTCAAATGAGTCTCTGTATCCTTGAATATTCTTTTCAAGGAACGGACATTTGAATCTGCACCTGTATCAGATTTTTATTACCTGGTTTACTAAGTATATAATTCTGTATTATCTACTTTTGTGAAAGAAGAAAAGTTAGCTTGATTTATGGTACAAAATTTTTGTTTATCCTGTGTGTTGTGGTTAGGATTAATAATATTCTGAGAAGTAGTTTGATCTCGATATATATATATTTCTTTATTTGTTTATCTAATTTATCTTTATTTGTTTATTGTCAGATTGATATCCAGTGTGTTTTGCGCTCTTGTTTTTAAGTTTTTCTTTTTCAAATTTTCTATGTATGGAATTCGATGCTTTTTGTTTATCTTGTTTACCTAGTCCAATACCTCATTCTTTTAAAGCTGTTTTTATCTGCTATTGTTCTTTTGCTGTATAAAGTATTAGGGATACTTGCTGAAAGAGTGGAGAGTGTGGATATAAGTTGGAAGCCTTGTTCCATCTCTTGGTATAAGATTTGAATCAATGTGTACCTTGCAGGTTGATCCTTTCACCAGTGTCAGTGCTGCTCACCATATTGGTGAAAATGTTAGGCACCGAATTCACGATTCTCATCCTGAAGTGGCTGAAGTCTTCATACACATAGGTACTGCTGCTGTGCTGCAAGTTTACTTCAACTCAGTTCTCATATTGGCATTACATAGATTATCTTTGCTGTTACAATTTGAAGCGCCTATATTTGGTTTCGGATGAAGTGACTGAATAATGAAATTAACTTTTGCTTTTCTATTCATGGGTTGGATTGTGGAAAAGCACAATGGACCTAATGATAAACTTACCAATTTGAAAATTGTGCTGGCATTCTGCATTATTGCTTGCTTTTAAATTGATAGTCTTTGCTGTGTTATATGTTGTATATTGGACGGATAGCAAGCCGATGTCATTGACCATCTTGACTCCCTTTTACTGAAGTAGTTTAGGGGATGCAGAAGGTACTGAATAAGGTGAAAATAAAACTGGTTGTATATCAAATATGTTGAATACATAAAAGTGCAAGAGTGCGGAAACTATTGTGAGCCCACAGGAGGATTTCTAGGACTCTAGTAATTAGTCATACATGACTCTAATTAGGGCATATTCATCCATTTACTTATACCGCACTTGGAAAAAAAAATGTCATAACACGCGTTGGTATTTCATTATACTTTAGATGGTATCATCATGATACCAACAGCCTTATTCAGTGATACCAACGAATGCAAAATTATTTTGTTGGTATCGATATAATTTGTTGTTGGTATCATGTTAAATACCAACGTCGGGTATTAGAGTCATGTTCTAATTACTAGAGTCCTAGAAATCCTCGAGCCCACAGCGTTGGTGGGGCCTATAACTGGAAAAGAATTAATTAAGCACATTTGGTTTAAATAATATGCATATTATGTTTGAGTAAAGAAAAAAAGTTGCACATTTAGTTTTAAAAAAATTTGCATATTTAATCTTTCTCATCCTCATCATTTTAACATCTTTCGGATATGACCCTGAACTGATGCTTCCAAATTTTCTCACTGAATATCCTTAGTTGAATTAAATTCCAGTTGTTAAGACAGTACTTTTTTCCTCTAAATTTTGTCTTAAAAGATCTATTCAAACATGTATGTGAAAGATTTTTTTTTTTTTTTTTTTTTTTTTTTTTTTTTTGAAGACAGGTTATCATTTATAAGATTTTAGTTATTTTGAAAATCCCCCAAGTAATCTGAAAGAGTAAAGATGTTTGTGTTCTAGGTTGCCGGTCTAGGAAGAGGGAGCAGTGAATGGAGGGAAATGTGCCAATCTAGCCTCTTCTTTGCTTGGTCAAGGAATATTTTTAATTTTTATAGCATTTTCTGATTCAGCTCTGACTCTAATATGTTATTTTGCTGCCGTTGGATTTTCGTTATGATTTTCGTTTTCTGAAGATACACACTTAATTAGGCACAGCTGCTTCAAAGTTCAAACTACAAACTATGGCTTTTGTTATCTGTTTTAGCTTCTGAAGCAGTTGCATCACCTTGATTCTCGATCCTGTTACCTTGTGGGTTCATTTTAACATTGGAACTTCTCTTGCAGATCCTTCTATTTCTGAAATATCACCGGAAGTTGATATAAAAGAAAACTTTGACAGCTTGGACGAAACTAATGACAGTATCTCCTTAAAGGACAAAGACTTTGATCATATCATCTCTGATATATTCTCATCACAGTTTCCAAAGGTTCATTCTTCTATCCCACTCAGGCTATGTGCAATTCAACATTTTAAGTAAATATTTGCTTAATTCAGAAATGATCAGGTGTGTCAGTGATGTAAGGTTGATATTTCACTTCCTGAAGTGCTACATGTGTCGTGTCACCTTATTTGTACAGATAAGGTGACACGACAGTCACCTTATCTGTACATTTAAAAAGTGTACAGATAAGGTGACACGACAGTCACCTTATCTGTACATTTAAAAAGTGTACAGATAAGGTGACACGACACACGTAGCTTGTCTTTGTTGCCCTTTTAATCTAATCTTTTTTTTTTTTTTTTTTTTTTTTTTTTTTCTTTGGAAAGTATTGTGGCTTGAATGAATACTACACCAGATGCCTTTTGCAAATATCTTGGTTCTTTGAAAGCACTTCTGCCCTTACTTTTACATTTAGGGCACCTAAACTGCTTGTGGCTCATTTGCTAAGCCATATTACTAAAAGGAATTATAAGTGTAAAACAGTTTGTAAATCCACATCTGTGTAATTAATATTCCTCAAGTCACTAGGAATTCTGTACCAATATCAAGGACACATCCTCTAGAGTTTATTGCTGGTTGATTTCAATGAAGACAAACATGACCAAAGACGCGTCGTTGCGTTCTCTAGCCACCCTTGTGTAGGAGTCAAAAGAGGAGAAACATTTCAAGGACATGTTCTCTAGAGTTCACGTGTAGGAGTCTACTCATAACAATTTGTACTCAGTGGAGGAAAAGAGGAGAAAGTATTAGAACTTTGGATTGATATTATGTGGTCTCAAGACATTCAATGGGTCACTTTGCTTCTTAGATAGGATTTTTACTATTTCAATACCAGTAGGTTTTGGGTTTTCACAAAATGATTCAGTTTCTTGGTCTTGCTAAAATATGATGGAAATGACCTCCCCTTCTTACCCCTAGGTGTGGTTTCAACTTCCCCCCTCTGCTCCCTTCTTTCACTATGTAGTTGTATATGTCCTTGATTTCTGCAGAATTTTTTTTCCTTTTGTTTTAGTTTCTGTTATTAATCCATCGGGCCTGAACTATATTTCCAGAAAATGAAGCTAGAGCACATAACGCCTCACCTGTTGCAAAACAAGATTATGCTGGATGTTGAGGTCTCCATGCCACCTGACATAATGATCAGGTAAAATGCTGCAGGAATCATCCTTTACTTCATTCAATATACAAGTACATCTTTTTTATACCGATTTCTGTTTCAGTGATGCAAGGTTGATGGCAGAGGAAGTGAAAAAGGAGATTCTCGGAACAGTGTCTGATGTCATTCAAGTTCATGTTCAGTTGCGGCTTACACCTGCTAACCATACAACTCCCTCGTAATTTTTTCCTGAGACTATGACACCTTTTTGCTAGGATTATAGATAGCTTTATAAACTTGAACTGTTCCTTAAGTAGTACAATTGTCCCGGAGAAAGTCAGACATGAGTACGTATTGCAGGAAAATAACACTAACCTCGGCATCTTTATTTGTACTGTAGGTAAATCATAAATGGTTATATAGTTTTTTCTGTGGATCGCAGAAGGGGATATAAGGTGTGGTGCATAGAGGAAGAAAGGAAGATAAATAGAGTGCTTTCCGTTCTTGAGATGCACTCTTTTAATTGTATAAACAAGTCCATTTTCGGACATACAAACAACAATAAGGTGACTAACTTACAGAGTCATGTACGCAGTGCTTCTAAACTTGCTGCTTTTTTGGCAATGCAATTTTGCTAGCATGTTACTACGGAGTACGGAGTATTTCGTATCTCATATTAATATGCTGCTTTTGTGCCTATCGTTTGGGAATGCAATTTACTCTAGAAGTAGTAAACTCGATGATCATCAGATCGTTCTAGTTATTCATTGGGACTATTGGGTATTCACGAAGCTAATACTGCAAGTATAGTTTCACATTGCATTGCATAATTGCATTACAGAGTAAAATCATGAAGCTATATAATCATGAATGCAATTATATTATAGCACGTTTTTGTTATGTAATTATGCATTAAATTTAATTTGTTCAGAAAATTGAATTTCTCAAATACATTCAAAGTATTAATTTTTTTTTATTTTTTTTTTTTTTTTTTGACATTCCAAGTATTAATTACAAACTTACAATCATCCAAAATTTATGTTTGGCTTAAAACTAAAATCTTCCTGATCTGACATGTCCAAAATCCTTTTTGGTCATCAAAAATTTATGTTTAAAATTTATTAAATTAAATTAAATTAAATTTAGCCCATATATTTAAGTCCTCACAAGTCATTCTCGACTTCTCGTCCATAAAATAAACAATAAAATAAATAATTGTCAATTTTTTAATTTTGTAGTTTTGAAGTAACAGAAATTAAAAATATTTGCTTAAGAAAAGGAGTCATTGAATCAGATAATTGTAGTCTGTAGTTTTAGTCGACACTTTAATATTCCGATACAAGTTTCATCACTTTAATAACTTCAATTTCATTGTTAAACTTCATAGATAGATTTGTACTAGTATTACGGAGTAAAACACTAAAATTAAAAATTTCGACTGTACAGTAATTTTATGTATATTTTATAGTAATCTCAACGGCAACTTTTTACACTTTGATTGTAATTTCCAATAATGTACAGAACAGAAGGCAAAAAATTACTATTATAAAAATAAAAAATGACAAATTTGAGGAATAAATTGGAAATAGATAAGAAATGGAGCCATTGAATCAGATAATTGTAGTCTGTAGTTTTAGTCGACATAATTATATTCCGATACAAATTTCATCACTTCAATGGCTTCAACTTCAATCCAATCTAACCCAGTTTTTAATCTTTTAAAATATTTGATATATCAAAATAAAATTTTCCAAACAAATATACCAAATAGAAACATTCGAATTCTTTTCTTAAAAAAAAAACATATAAAAGAGAGATAAGAGAGAAAGCTCAGAAGGATCCATTGGTAAATATTAATCAAAGAAACAATCAAGTTCCTCAGAAAATAGGTAGTTATGAAGCATCACTGCAATTTCTCTCCTATTTCTATATAAATTTCACAGAAATTTTAACCAAAAAAAAAAGAGACATGATAATAAAATGAAGACAGAATGAAAGGAGAGATAATGAGTTATATAATTGATTGTTGTAAATTGTGGTTTATATACGGTTATAGTTCGTATGATTAGGGTTAGGGTTTAGCTCTTATGGGTTTTTGGGCTGGATTATGGGCTTTATATTTTGATTTTTCTGTTTTGGACTCCCGTCCATAAAGTAGCTATTTTTACACTACCTCCCTGTGTAGCGTCTGCTACCTACATTTCCCCTCCCCCCTTTTTTTTTTTTTTTTTTTTTTTTTTTGTTAATTTCTTACCTTTCTTTTCATTCAAGCTATGTATATGTATCATTTTAAGGGATTTGTTAAATATCGCCCACAAATTACTACATAAAGCCCATAAAATACACTTAGTTTGACACTTTTGCCCATTTGTGAAATCTTACCAAAAACGAAAAATTCTGACATCGAAAAATGTGGAGCCGTACTGGGTCCCCGGGGGAGACCGGAGAGCCAAGGGACGCCGAAGAGCCGTCGTCGTCGCAGCAAAACGAGGTAAAACATCGTCGTTTTAACGGTATGACGGCCGGCGTGAGGCTGGACCACCACCGTCATGGTCGGGGCGCCTGGCCAGGACGCCGGTTCCATGGCGGTGGCGCTTCCGGCACCGTGAGAGTGGCGCATGGCCAAGACGCCGGAACTATGGTGGTGGCTTCCAGGCTAGGCTCCACTCTCACGGTGTCGGCGTCCTGGCCAGGCGCCACTCCCACGGTGCCGGCGTCCTAGCCAGGCGCCACTGCCATGGTGGTGGTGGTCCAGCCATGCGCCACTGCCTATGTGATTTTTTTTTTTTTTTGTATGTGGAAATTAGATTTTTAATTTTTTTGTTTTTTTTTTTTATAAATTTGATAAATTTAAATTGAAAAAAAAATGTATAACTTGAAATTATGTTTTATATATTTGTTAATAAATTTATTTTATAATTTTGTATGTGGAAATTAGATTTGTGTTAATAATTTACAAAAAAATTAATTATGTTTTAATTTTGTATGTGTATGAATACTTTTACACATAATTATGTTTTAATTTTGTATGTGTATGAATACTTTTATAAATGATTATGTTTTAATTTTGTATGTGTATGAATACTGTTATACATAATTATGTTTTTAATTTTGTGTAATTATGTGTAAATATATAAATTAAATGTATTATGCGTTAAATATTGAAATGAAATTTACAAATTAAAAATGTAGATATTAATTATGTGTTAATGTTGTGTTAAATGTATTAATTTACGCTTTACATAATTATATGTATTTAAATATAATATCTAATTGATGCAGGATTATGGTGGAGACGGAAATGATTACAGTGAGATATTTGTACATGATGGTCCATTCGAAGATGCTTAACAAGCGATTGATTGGGCTAAACAAGTTGCATTTACTTCTGGTTTTTGCTTGGTAGTAACAACTAATAAATCTCAACGGGATGGTAGAATGGATCGCATTTTGAGATGCGACCGTTATCGCAAAAGAGAAGAAAGAGATTTCAATACAGCCACTCGGTTTGATACAAAGCGGAAAGGTTGTGGGTGTGAGTTCAGAGTAAAGGTTCGGCAACTAGAGAGTCGTGAAGGTTGGGAAGTGAAGGGTTACTCTAAATGGGGGTATCACAACCATGAGATGATAGTATATGAAGTGGGTCATCGACAGTTGAGCAGCTTAAGTCCTGCTGCATAACTGGTTGTCAAAGAAATGAGTGATGCTCAAGTGAAGCCTGCTAAAATATTAGCATCTGTGCTAGAGAAATTTCCTGAAGACCAGCCAAACCGAAGACACATCTACAACGTCAGACAACAACTGAGGTTTGAACAGTCAGAGGGAAGGAACTCTATACAGCTGCTTCTACACCAGGCACAAGCACGTGGTTACCTGTTCTGGTATGATTCCGATGAAGATACAGCGGAGGCAACTCATCTATTCCTTGTGCATCTTGATTGTGCATCCTGATTGTGCTGATATGATCAAGAAAAACATAAGCAACCAGTTGTGCGTCGTGCGTCCTACGTGCACCGGGGTGCAAACAACGCTGCAAGACGGATGCGATCTTCACACCGCCGTGGTCCCAAACACCAAGCGCCCCGGTGTACAGCGCAACCCTGTCCACCGCCAACAGCTTCTCCAGCAAATCTGCCTGATCCGCATCAATCACTACAGAAAGGCGTTTACCCTCTGCGCGAATCCCAAGAATGGCCTCGACGTCATGCAACATGATCGTCATCTTACCGATTGGAAGGTGGAAAGAGTTCGTATTCGGCTGCCATCGCTCAACGAAAGTCGTGATCAGCGTCCAGTCAATCTTATCGTGCATGGTGGCAGGAAGGTGATTCACCCCAGTGCCCTGCAGTCGCTCGAACATCTCGCTCTCCACCGGCCAAGACTCAGCCCATCTGCTCAAAACGGTACAAGTCTTTTCCCGGGTTTGGCATTTCAAAATGCCCGTCACCAAACCCCCCTCTCCTGGTCCTCACAGATACGGGTAGCTATGTGTCCTAGAAAGCTAGGAATCACACTCCCGTCTACAAGCTCCCCAGGCACTTCACCCTTAACCACCCAAGAATCATTAACGGCCCTCGACCGTTTTCTGCTTGCCCCAGACACGGTGGACGCAGATGATGTACTAGATCTACTAACAAACCTACCATCCCTACCCTTACGCACATCTACCCTATGCGTCTCGTACATGTCATCTAGCCTCTAACTGAATGGACCGTAATCATCATATGGTCCACTCACATCGTCCACATCCTCATATGCGCCCTCCTCCTCCTCCTCCTCATCATCATCATCATCATCATCTTCATCCTCATCCCGATGGTGAACCCGTTCTCTAAGAGCCGAGGCCGAAATACCACGGGATCTAAGATGTCTAGGCCCCGAGCTCTCCATCTAGTAGTTTCCACTTCTAATAAGGTCTAGATTCCTCCCCGCACCATGGCAAAAATGTGACACCTTCAAAAAATTAAAAAATGTATACACATAAAAAAAATTATAAGAAAAATAACTACCAAAAACCAAATGAAATAAACTAAAAAAATACTAGCAAAGTAACCTGAAAAAGAAATTAACAGAACACTTAAAATAAATTAAACAATAAAATATACACAAACAAAGAAAAAAAAACCAACACATACAAAATATATATAAACTTAAAAGAAAAATTAAAAAAAAATAAACTAAACGAAAACATTATCAACTAAACAGAAAAACGTACTAACAAATTGCAATAACAAATATAAAAAAAAATGTACAAAACAAACATACAAAGAAATGTAAAGGAAGTATAAACGTAAAAAAAATACAACAAAATTGAAAAAAATTTATAAAAATAAACAACAAAATATACAAAAACAAACAAAAAAAACCTTAAAAAAACATAAAACAAAAACAAAATTTTAATTTAAAAAAAAAATTGCTGAAAAAACAAAAAACAAAAAAAAATAATGTTTTTCAAAAAAATAAACAAAATAAAAAAAAAAATCTGATTTTCAAAAATAAAAACTTAAAAAAACAAAAAAAAAAAAAAACATTCTAATTTAAAAAAAAAATTACTTAAAAAACCAAAAAACAAAAAATAATTTCTGATTTTCAAAAATAAAAAATCTGATTTTCAAAAAAAAAAAACAAACTTGATTTTAAACAAAAAAACAAAAAAAAAATAGCGGGGAGCATGGGGAGGACGCCACGCCGGTGGTGGCGGCGCCATATCCCAACGCCAGAACCGTGGCGGCGGCGTCCAACCCAGCCGCCTGGGCCGTGGTTCCGGCGCCTGCTTCTGGCGCCACCACCACCGGCGTGGCGTCCTCCCCATGCGCCCCACCTTTGACGACAATTTTTAATTTTTTTTTTTTTTGGGAAAAAACCTACCTTTCCAC